GTGGCAGGTGTAGCAACCATGGCCACGCTTTCCAACGGGCATCTGATAGTAGCAGACTGTGATGATGAGACCGCAGTAGCTAAGACCAGAGTGCGCAGCAGGCAAACAGCGGCTGGGTTAGAAGGAGTACCTTTCCCACCTTTGGATTTCTGACTACCGCCAGAACCGTTGGAGCCACGAGAAGTACTTCGTTTCTTCTTCTCTCTTTTCTCCTTCTTCTTCTTCTTTCGTTTCTTCCGGTCGTCACTTGGTGCGGGTGTTGAAGAACGATCGGGATGTTTGAAAGCACAGTTCTTTCCCCGGTGACAATCACCAGATTTCCAAAACTTGCAAACTTCCGATCTGGATCCCGGAGTCAACGACCTTCCACGTGAAGAAGAAGATCTACCCTTTCCGCCACCTTTGGGCCTCCCTTTGCTGGATTCACGGGGTTTCTCATGTTTGAATGGGCAGTCGCGCCTACTGCACTTCCCTTTGTTCTGAAACTCATAGCAAACACCTTTTGGCTTTTTGTCACTTGGGTCAATGACAGGAGCTGCAGGGTCTTTACCTCCAAGACTACGTTTCGTGGCATCCCTCATCTTTTCCAAACGTTTCCTTTCAAGGTATGCCTTGGCTGACTTGATCAAAAAGTCATAAGTCTTTTCGGCACTCCCTTCCGAGGCGCGTTCGTAGATGGCAAGATCATGAGCTAGAGGCTTAAAGTTCTTCACAGCAAGATGAAAATATGCCTCAAGCCATTTCTTGTCAACTTCCGTTCGCATCCCCGCGATAACAGACTCCCATCGCGTAACAAAACCTTTCAGGTCCTCGTTCACCATCTTAACACAGATAAGATCTTCAACATCGTAAATAGCACCGTGTTTGATGGATGTAGCAAAATACTCATGGAACAACAGTAGGATTTGTCGTCCCTTTATCGGTTCTTTTGCTTTCTCCTTGGTCTCTTTAAATGTGTTGAGTTGGCGAGCAAGGTCCCCCTCCGCACAGTTCGTGAGACTTGAGAGAAGTTTTGCATCCAGCGTGATGAAACCCTCAGAGTCATCCAGGTCCTTAGTGGTCACGGCGTCTTCATAAACCTTACCTAGCCATAACCTGGCCTTGTCCGGCTTAGCGGACGCCGCTGACACATTGTCCCGAACTTTAATTCGCCAATCTCTATACCTTTCAGGTGTAGGAAACTTGGGAATGAGGATCTTTTCAGCCTCTTTGGCCCTCTGTTCACGATCCTCTTTCTTCATCTTCTTCAAATGCTTCCTAACCTTCCGGGCAAAGGATGAATCCTCAGAAGACGAGCTCGACGATGAAGGTGACTCGGACGGTGAAGGTGACCCCTTTTTGTTTTTCTTTTTGTTCTTTTTGCGGGGTGATCTGCCACGCTTCTCTTCCTTGTCATCTTTCTTCTTCTTCTTTTTGTCTTTCTTGCTCTTCTTCTTGTCATCGGATGAAGACGAACTTGATGAACTGGGATGATCAGGAGGACCACCTCCAGCTACTTTCGGAGCATTAACCGTCCCACTTGCAAGAGCTTCACGGTAGGGTTCGCCGGAACTATCAGTCATTGATTTCTGCATTGGTCGATATGGTTGACCAAGAGGTAGCTCGCTTGAACCCATCGGACCTGGAAGAGTTGTCCTGAGGTTAGCCGGTGTTCCAGCAGGCTCATAGTTCCCTCGAGCAGATGTTTCCATTTTCTCTCGAGGTTCTCTAATGAGCTCTGTTTGTGTTCTCAACTCTTCCCTCAGTTGCGATTCACGACTCTGCGCTTGTTGTTGTAACTCTGTCAAGTTGTGGTTGTATAGTTGAGCTTCAGTCAACGCAGCATTCTTGATGACTGCTTCATGTGCATTCATCTTAGCTTGCTCGTTTGCAGCCCAAGATGCAGCTCTTCGTTCTTGTAACTCGAGTTGCTCCTTGACATGGTCGTGTGCCTCTCGGTGAATGGCTTCCACTGTCTTCTTCACTTCTTCGTCTTTCTTGGACATCAGTTCCCTGTGTCGCGCTTCTGCAAGTTGTGCGACTTCAGCGGACTTGTCCAGGTTGACGTTGATCATTCTTTGATCGTGGAAGTTCGCCGTTTGGTTAATGACTTGTCTCGAATCGTTGTATGTACTCGACGGAACGAAGGCAGGGCTCGTGGGAGACAGGACGATTGCACCAGTCGATGTAGCTGGTGGCAACACGTTCCCATGTGCTTCAACCAACGCATCCTCATCATGCTCTGAGGTGAAGACTTCCGTCTGTACATATGACCCATTCTCATCGGCATCACCGACTCTTGACCTCGATCGATCCGTGCCATCTCGAATTGGTTCGAAGAGCCTGTCCGCCATGCCACCTCACGTGTGCGCAGAACGAGGGTGGGTAGGTGACACAGCTAGAATGGCGCGTACCGCTCTTTGGCGATACGGCTGATAACCTGAATTTACAGGCCAACAGCCTACAAGTACCAACATGTAGAGCGCCCTTTTCTTGAGCCAAACATAGAGGTCAATATGGTATGTACAGGTGTACAATCGTGCAAATACATCTTGTTCTTAGTAGTACGGCCAGGAGCCCCTAGTAGCGTCCTTGCTCCTAATAGTAGCGATGTCAGGAGCTCCTAGTAGCTTCTTGTTACTAGTGGCATCACTTCGTTCGCTTTGCATGAGGTCCTCAACCTTTACTTCGTCCAACGATATGTGGCGCGTGCACAGGGCATGGTGACATGATGATGTGAGAATTCACATTAGACACGTCCAACCAAAGAAACTGCGCAAGAAACAGCTCATTGAGTCATTGGACACTGTTCGACCGTTTTGGCGAAACTCCTCATTGCCGAAGTTGGCATGCAGCGCGAAACGCTTGGAGCTCTTTGGCATTTCCTGGCAACTGTCACCTTGAGTCCACACATCTGAATTGGCACATGGCTATGCAATTTATGAAGCGATGGCCTCCAACCTAGCCTATACCATATATGAATACTATGAATTGAAGATGCTTGAAGATGATTGAAGAGATAGGCTTACAACTCGGTGACTTGTTGTCTTGTATGGCCAGTGAACACATCTTTTTGCAGCTGGAACTGAACTTCAGACCAAATTAAAAGTTGTCAAACAATGGAGCTAATCTTCTGCTGAATCGCTTCAATCCCTCCATCTTGCACTGACCGCCATGTGAGAAAATGCCATGAACATCTACGAAACCAAGTGTCTTTAAGTGTGTGCTGAGATCCCGTGTCTCATGACGTATCCTACCGCCCTCGTTCATGACGCTGTGCCTCTTCGGACTCGGACTGGATCTCGTCAGGAAGCTGGACCAAGGCGCTCAAGTGGGAGAAGCGGAAGGACATTTGCTGCCTGAAGGACCACGCGAAGCCACGAATCGTGGAGGAAAGCCTCTCGATTCCAAAAAGAACTTTGAAAGGGCTTTCCCAAGGACGCTACTAGTAGCTCCTGGCCATACGGAGCAAGGACGCTACAAAGCCCAAGGGCTTTCCCAAGGACGGAATCAACAAATGGTCAGCATGGGCAAGGATCGACAGGAAGTGCCGTATGAAGTGAAGAATTGGGTGAGCTCGCACGAGCAAACACGAGTGATCGATACAAACCAATTGAGTGACCTAGCCTAATAGCCATGGCCTCCAACCTAATTGTAATGGCTCCAACCTACAAGCGACAGCCTCCAGCCTAGTAGCGATGGTTGCCTCCAGCCTAATAGTGATGGCCTCCAAACTACTAGCGACGGAGGCCATTGGAGTGACCTAGCCTAATCGTGCGTGCAGGGTGTTGCCTCAGAATGCATCCGTCGTGCCTAACCCCCAAAAGAGTGCCGGCACCCGGCCAAGCACCTCTGCAAACTATTGCAAAACCAGTCTTCAAGATTAATTACAAGAATCACGAAGGACTTAGCAAACTGGAACACTAAAACCAAAGCCACTGAGCGATGCCCCTGTCGCCAAGTGGCGTGATTGGAAGCTCATGACCCAAGCGAGAGCGCTTTATGTCGATACGCGACGGCAACCTGGCAGCACTGGCATGCAGTCCCAAGCTGATGGAAATTCCTATGGGCTGTTAAGCGTTTTTGGCTTCGTTCAGTTCACGGCCACAATTTCCACACACGACACTTACCTCATCTAACCTCTCTGCTACGGTCAGCTTCGTACGGTATCCCTTCGTACGGTCTCTCCATGCAGCGACAGCCGCTGACTGCACACTGCACACCTCGGCTCCAGCATCACCGGCGACAGCAAATCCTCAGCCCTCAGTGCATTGATGTGCTTCTTCGCCTCTCGAAGACGATCCTCAACCTGAAGACGAGCGACATCCGTTCCGCCATGACTTAATGGCTTAACATGTGTGATTTGTACTAGACTGTGCTATACTGTACTACTAGCAAGAGGCTACTAGGTTGGAGGCAGGCCATTACTACTTCAAGCCCCCAAGGCCATAAGAATCTTAAATCTTCGGGATGGGGATCATGTCGTCGACTTAAGGTGGACTCACAACCCATCCAGCAAAACCTCCTTTCGGTGTTTGGGATGCAATTGGTGCTCCAATGTGCTGGAGCAAACGCCTCTTTTGACCTCTTTTGACCTAAACTAAATTCTCCGATTCAATTCACAACGATTGTTTCACTATCTAAAACACATCTGCCCAGGCCCACGCGGCCGATCGCGGCCGCACAGCGTCAAGAGGCCATGCGCTTGGCTTCCACGAAGTCTTGCAGGCCGACGATGGGTGCACGCAAGCGACTTGAGCTCCAAAGGGATTGGCGTATGGCGTCGCTCACCTCGGCTCTGAGCTCAAGCAACTCTCCAACGCGTCCAAGATCTGAGTGTCCAAGGTGTGGTGTCCCATTGAATCCCGCACACTGCGCACGGGATATGGGAAAAAACGACAGAATCCCCCACCGAATGGGAGGATTAATGTATTTTCATTGAACTTAATAGCATGCATCACTAACAAGTGCAGCCGGCTTCATTCAAACTGGAATTCAAGCAGGGTCAAGTTTGGTGTTATTCAAATGTTCTTGGGCCACAAGAGATGCTCGTCTTCCTGCCAGGCGACCAAGTCAGCCCAAGAAGCACAAGAGATGGACACATTGATCGATATACTCTCGGTGTCCTTAAATCCAGCTGGGCATCAAGGCCGTCAATGCTTGACTAAAAGAATGCTTCGCTAGGCTTTGAATGGGCTTACTACTAGGAGAAAAGGACGCTACTGGGGGCTCCTGGCCTTACTAGGAGCAAGAACGCTACGAACGGAGCAAAGGTCATGCTATTTCCGCATGGCGAGACTCTCCAGTGACCTCCACATGGTGCCAAATCCCTGCGGGATGATAGAGCAAATCACCAGCGGTCACATCCACCACCTCAGCATCTGCGAAGAAGCTCTCCGGTGGCTTGAAGTCAGGCTGTGATGGATCCTTGGATGAAGCGGCTTGCAGTGCGGCTTGCATTTGGCTAACCGTGTTCGCATTGGGTGGTTTGTGGTTAGTGATTGCGGGAGGGCATGTGGCATGTGAGATTGTTCATGCACATCGGGGAAGAAGCAGCCAGCTGTATGTTGCATCCGAATGTCGCACGTGACGTGAAGCTTCATCTGCTGTTCGAAATTGGCTTTGGTCCTCGGTGACATAAGTGCACCGTCACGTGGGCACATGGGCCAGAAATCTCCTACTCCAAAGGCTCCTTGTAGCTGAAGCGGGAATGCTTGGAATTGTTTTGAAGTAGCGTGGCGCTAGTAGTAACAAGTGCCACGCTAGTAGTAACAAGAAGCTAGTAGAAACATCTTTCCATGTTCATCTATAGACTCTAGATCCTTTGGAATGGTTTGGAATGGTTAGCTGAGAGCTGGGCAAAAAGTGCGGCGTCAAAGCCCGCACATTGTTCTTCACCGGTCCCTGCTTGAAGCGCCACCGCTTGGATCCCCTCAGCCGAACAAATCCAGGAGATCAAACGAGCTTTTGAAGCAGCGCAGTTTTTCGGGACCTTGTTGAAAAGACCAGCACTCGCAGCTTTGATGCCCTATCCTCACCCTGGCCTCAGCTGGAAGGTGAAGTTGTGCTGAAAATCCGTATGCCAACCTCAGGTTCGCAATCCAACTGAAGCCTCTCTATGGAAAGGACATGGACATGGACATACATGGGATTGTGCGATGGCCACCCGCGCAATACGTACGATCTCTGATTCTGGCCTGTCACATGGCCTCTTTGAGCCACGAAGGTCTCAATCTCGCCTCGGGGACGTCCATCACCTGGCCGAAAGAGACGAACTCTTCCTTTATACTAGTCATATGAGCATTGCTACTAGCAGGAAGCTACTACCAGTAATGCTCTTCAGTGGGCATTTTAATTTGATTTGTAATTGGCCCTGTTCGGTCCTTCTAGAGATGTCCACTGAGATGTTCCAAGGCTTAAAGTGTGGTACCTCGATGGACCGCACATAACACCATCTCACAAGGCCTGGATAAATCCCTGCGAAAGCTGCTCTCAAGCCGGTGCAAATGCCAGGCACCAGCAAGTCCCTTGGCAGAATCGGTCTCATAGCTTCATCTACCATAGTGCCATAGTGCTGGTCTCATGTCTGCGCATAGTGCAAAGGTCTGTCACTCTCGCTTCCAAGACGTTCTTGAACCGCTTCATGCAGCGACGTTCTACTGTGTCGTTACTCGTATCTTCACTTGCATCAACCTGCAGTGACACTGCAGTGCACAAAAATTCGGTTTTTCCTCTCCCTTTGTTCCCCTTTTTCCTCTCTTTCCGGGTTGCTCCAAGGCTTCGGGTGCTCGGAAGTAGAGCGCGGCCTGGCCACACCGCTGCAGTGCCAGCGCCGCCGCCGGCTCCAGAGGAACACTCTGCAGAGCTGTCTCTGTGGGGCCTGAGTCGGGAAGGACAAATTGAAATCTATTGGCCAGCCTCATAGGGCCGAATTTGGGTTTTTGTGCTTTTTTTGCTTTCAGTCGTTTTTTCTATGACCTTTAGGATCCTTTAGGCCTTAATATGGTCCTTTTCTTTTGGAATTCCCTTCTTTCTTTATTTCCTGTTCCATCGTTCTTTCGAGAATCGGTTGGAAAGTGATTCCATTCAGTGATGGCAGCCCTGCCCTTCAGTGCTTGTTCCAAACCCTCGAAACCCCATGGACAGCGGTTCCAAATCTGCCTTCCTGCCCTTTCGCCAGGAGACTTTTGAGCCACGCATGCACCTGTCGTGAATCAACAAGAACGATCTTTCCCAAGTCCTTTCCCTGTGATTTCTGCGACTCCATGTGACAAGTTCCTTTTGACATTCGGGGCTTCAGTTGCTGCCTGTTCACTGGGCGTCTCCTGCAACATGTCCTCCAAATTCAGTTGGCTCAACTGCTCAATGATGGGTCCCAAGCGCTTGGGAGGTCCCTCGACCTGCCGGAGTCGCTCGAGCTCCAAGGCCACTCCAGCTTCACGACATGGTGGTGCTGGTGGTGGCGGGTTTCCAACCTAAGACCTAATAGCAATGTCCTCCAACCTAATAATAGGGATGGCCTCCAACCTACTAGCGATGGTTCCAGTGCGTTGCCGACTGCTTTGCATTTCTGACTGCAGCCTAAGGTGCCAAGAGAACCTTCTCAGCCCAGCATGAGGACAGGAAGCTCTCCACAGTCAAAGGAGCCAAAAGCCTGCGATGGCGATGATCTGACCAAATCTGTGCTCTGCATTGAACACCGTTGACCTATCTGAAATCATGGCATGTGCACGTGCCGTCAATCAGCCTGCCAATGAGCTCAGAGGCTTCCAGTGCAGGGTCAATGGCTTTGGGCGTTGGGCAACGGTGACGCAGCACACCTAAGAACTCTATCTGGGCGACCCCGTATGCCAGTTACTTGCCATAACACGACCAAGGCCACCTAAGGCCTTAAGTCTTGAACTTCACTATGTGCCCGCATAAGGCTGGCAAGCAGGAATGTTCGAAACGCAATCTTACGACTGGTGTGATTCAGATAGGATCTTCCAATATCTTCCATCTTCTTGGGGCCCTTTTGAGACTCACTCCGCTCATGTCATGCCGGCCATGCCGATGAACCATCAAACAATCCATTCCTCTGCCTGCTTTCAAGCAGGTACGTACAGTTCACCAGTTGGTTCATGTAGTACGACAAAGCCCTGAGTACCGTCTCTTCACGCCGATGTATTGTCCCGCACCATTCAACATGGTTTCTTCAAACAGGACACATGCAGCACTCCTCGCTGAGTCTGGTCAAGCAGACCGTTCCCCCAAAAAACACGTTGCACAAAGGTTGCATCCAAATGCATCCACTCCGCGGCAAAACAAGAATCAGCCACCCAATTGCAGTTATGAGCCACAACCAAGATCTGGCTGGCTCTCACGCGCCCGTTTCACCATGGCCACCAGCAATGACAACCGAACAAGAATGAGATATAATAGTTCACTGACGCTGAATCATCCTAGGTCCGCGACCATCTCATAAAAAGAACCCAACACTGGTCGATGTTTGCAGTTCACGTATTGAATTCTCTGCGTCACGTGACTTCACGAGGCTGCGAGGTGTGGGGATGGTGTCCCATGGTGTCCCACAAGCTTTGGTGCGCTTGCCCAAAATGGCTACATTTGGGGCTGAGGAACTGCCAGAACTGTCTCCACCCAAAAATCTGATGGGAGCTGCCTGTATGTTTGATCGTTATCCGTTCTATAGTTCAGATTCCTCTGCTTGCTCAGGTGTCTCAGGGTGAATCTTATTCTTTGATGCTGTAACCGACGCGCCGCATAAACTTCTTGCAACTCAAACCCGGAAGCTCAATCCTGCTCCTATGGCTTCAACGGAGGACTCTTTGCGCAGCTTTCTTCTCTGTCTCTGTCTTCCTCCTCCGCAATCTTATCAACTACATGATGGGCCAATGGGTGGCCAGTCAGACCCACACCGAAGCAAGTGTTTTTTGGAAGACAGCCGTCTGGTATATCCTTGGTTCCAACTAATCTTGGTGGCAGATTCGCCTCCCTCCAAATGAAACTGCTTAGCCGACGGCTTTCCGCCCGCTACATGCGCCACACTTGCAGCAAACTAGGATTTGCCGGAATTGGATGCCAAGAGGCATTTGAATGGTGTGCTGAATGTCATGGATGGTGTCAGAGCACCGTGACCACCCGAAGACCACACTTAACATCATGCGACTGGTCGCAGTGAAGCATTTCACAACCCCCGTGCTTCAGTCCATGAGAGGACTTGCAATTCCTCAGTGCAAAACAGTGTCGAAGCCTTCATTTTTGTCTTTTAGCTTTCCTAGCTTTCCTAGCTACCAATCTGTAAGGAAGAAGGCATGAGATGGAATGACAGCAGAGAAGCAACACAAAAGCAAAAAGAAATAAAAAGCAATAGAAGCCTGAGAGCGATGGCCTGCAACGTAGAACCGATGGCTTCCAATAATAGAAAGCAATAGAAGCATAAAAGCCTGACAAAACCTGCAATGCTTGATCCCGGAGGGCAAAGCCAGGAAGAGTCGGCTGCGGCCAAGCTTCCAGTTGATCACCAGCTTGAACAAGCTCAGACAAGTTGGCGGTGTCCGGCTCCAGCCTGAAACTACAACACCTTAACAGGGTCCTTGTTCCTAGTAGCGATGCACTTGTTACTAGTAGCGTCCTTGCTCCTAGTAGTAAGGCCAGGAGCCCCTAACAGGGTCCTACAGGCTGTGGAAATTTATATATGTCATGTGTGGGGCTACACATAGGACGTTTGATGGCCAGCTGTGGTGCGCCTCTGGTTGTTTCGAATCAGGGTGAGTCTTTGCTGATCCGTGGGCATATCTACGACGATCTGTTCCTGAGTGGCAGTTGCAGCCTGTTCTTCCAGCACAATGGCCACACAATCAGTGAGAACCAAAACAACATCTGATAAAAGTGCGAATAACATTTGTCAACAAGCGCTTGAAGTGTAATACTTCCAGAGGGGATTGGCTTCTCAAAACATACACCACCCCCTTAGCTATCAACTTGCCACCAATAACATTCACATGAGAGCATGGGTGGACTTATCCAAGTGTTTTGGACCTCTATCATTAAATGCTGAGCTGCCAAAGCTTTCTTGAGATCGAGCACTGTCTGCAAACCTGGAGAAGGCCGGTCCCAAGCCAAAATGGAGAATCACTGACTTGGTGCTATGGCAGAAGACATGGAGGCAAAGTTCCGTGCAAAATGATGAGAATTTCTTGGACTCGAACAGGTTGGAGGCCATTGCTAGTAGGTTGGAGGCCATCGCTAGCAGGTGGAGGCCTATCGAGGTGTTTCTCCTTAGGAGCAAAACGAATAACTAGGAACATGGACGCTACTAGGTGCTCCTGGCATCGTTACTAGGAGCAAGGACGCTCTTATAGGGCTCCTGGCCTTACTACTAAGAGCAACGATGCTCTTAGGGGCTCCTGGCCATACTACTATAGGAACAAGAAATCAAATTAGAAATGAAACATGAAGCTACTAGGGGCTCCTGGCCTTACTACTAGGAGCAACCACGCTCTTAGGGGCTCCTGGCCATACTACTAGGAACAAGAATTCGAATTACAATTGAAACAAGAAGCTACTAGGGGCTCCTGGCCTTACTACTAGGAGCAAGGACGCTCTTAGGGGCTCCTGGCCATACTACTAGGAACAAGAAATCGAATTTTAATTGAAACAAGAAGCTACTAGGGGCTCCTGGCCTTACTACTAGGAGCAAGGACACTCTTAGGGGCTCCTGGCCTTACTACTAGGAGCAACCACGCTCTTAGGGGCTCCTGGCCATACTACTAGGAACAAGAATTCGATTTACAATTGAAACAAGAAGCTACTAGGGGCTCCTGGCCTTAC